ATTTCGCACTTTGTTATTATAAGTTTATGATCGGACGAACCAAGTGGAGCATCTACTTGAATTGTGTACGAGTCAGGATTGGTGGTTAGGAACAAGTCTAAAAGCGCTGCAAATTCGCCCCTTTCTGAGATACGGGTAGGTTCATCGACAAGCTGCGTTAGACCACAACTTATGGCAAAAGCTTCTGCTTCTCTGCCTTCGTTATCTGTTTTGTTGTGGTGTTTCAGCCAGGGTATATTGTGGACGTTGAAATCGCCTAAAAAGACAATTTCCGCCTGTGGATAGTTTGACTGTATACTATCACAGCTTTCGGATAATGTCGCGAAAAAGTTTTGGTAATCGGTGTTACTTGGCGGTCGGTAGAGGCAGCAGATAAACTTGGTCGATGACTTTGAGGTGAATTTTAGCCATATGATATCAAGGTTCGCTGGTTCTAGCTTCTCCTCTCGATGACATGAAAGGTCATTTTTAATGTACACACAGATCCCAAAATTATGTCGAAATCGGTGGTGTAGGTCATAGCCGGGATAAAGATAGTTCACAATAGGTGTTGCAGAACTGATTTTAGTTTCAGTGAGAACAAGGATGTCAGGTCTTTGTTCTTCAAGATGTTGGTGAACTGAATTCATATTTGTACTTATTCCTCTTATATTGCTAAAATCAATTCTGAGTTGAGTTTTTGATCTTCTCTTTATATCTTTGCATGAAGGACCCCCAGGATCACCCGACGCCCGGAGATCCGAGTGGTCGGGTATTTTACCTCTGGAATATTTTGATCCTGGAGGCGCCATCATGCTATCTGTTACTCATTGTTGGAACCGGACTGCCAGCGCAGTAGCGGAACGTGGTGATACCACTTAGCGCTACTCATACTCGAGTATGCTTAAAATTCCCCAGCTTGCACGAAAACCTTCAAGAAAAATGACACCAAACCGATTGCATGCAATGCCATTCAAGTTTCAAGAATCTTGCAGAAAACAATCAGCTGACTCACTTCTGCGCATGCCCTCGTTCAAGTTTCTTGCATATTGCAGATAGAATTGCAAACTGGCGGCTATAGACATAGGATCGCGATCCAATGTTGCCAAATCCTCCTTTCATAAAGCGCCAAATTTAAAATAGATTTATATTGCGGATAATGTTACAATAATAATTAAAGGTTAATTTCTGTTATACAACAAATAAAGTCTCGCATGATTAGTGGGTGATAAATTAATCCTATTATAGATATTTATGTTATAAGGATCATAATCAGGATCATTATGGTATTAGCCGTGAATATTATCAGACAAGGCGTCAGCCGAGTCTGATGATAACACGGCGTGTGCCATAATGATTGTTTATGATCCAAATTTCATACAATATTTTATATTCCAGAAATTGTAAATTATTTTAATCGTTAAATGTTGTCTTCAATAAATTTTTCATATTTTTGCCTACTAAACCTACCTATATAACCAGCCAAGGCATTAAATCTGCTTTTCTGCCATGTAAAACATATAATTTTTTCTCCGAATGTTCAAATTCACACATGGACATCTTTTTTATATTTATTTCATTCATTATTATTATCCAAATAATTAAATTATTTTGACAATTGTCATTGTCACCGTTAATTTCAAATACCAAATTGAGTTGAACGTTGTGACACTGTCACTTTTAATGCCTAGGCAGTAAAAGTCCACTTTTACTGCCTAGGCAGTAAAAATACAACTTTGGATCCTTTCGAGTGTCATTAAAAGGCTGCTTTTACTGTCATTCGGAGAAAAATTAATATTTAAGGAACAAGAGTTTGGGAACAAAATGGCGGCGGGACCTCTATTGTCGCCACTGTATGTAAAGGTTTATTTAGCCACTGTAGTTAAACCCTGTTTAATTTAACAACACTGCTTTTTTTACCATTCTACCACGGTGCCTACACTAGCTGAATTTAGCCACACATATTCTTGGGCCGAGCCCACAAAATTTAAACTGCCGAATGTCAAATGCTTTTGAAAAACCGATCGCATGTTGCGATTTGCTTAGACTTTAGGAAGCTTAAAAATCGATTTATTTATGCCACCGCAGAGACTAGGTATGGTATGAGACGCAAAAATCGAACTATTTTACGCTTTTCAAAATATCAGAGAAAACGGGACATTTACGCGTCCCGATAACTAATTTTGGGACGCGGGACATGGATCTTGAAATAAAGGACTGTCCCGTATTACGGGACGTATGGCAGGCTTAAAATGAACCGCCTTAAGGAGCGCGCCCACTGGGCCCCGCACAGCCCGGCACAGCACGGCCAGTGCGGCCGGCATTTCCGCAGCTGCCGATTGCTTCGGCATGATCAGACCCAAATAGCGTTTAAAACAACTTTGACTATCGAAGTGGTAGATTCGTGAATAAAAAAGACACTTCTCCCCAAGCATTTTCTTTGCGAGTGATATCGTGGTAATATTTTTTCTTAAGATCATACAACAATGCATATGCCCGCAAGCTTTCAATCAAAATTTCATCGGAAATGATGCCACAAATAAAATGAAACAACACAATCCAATGCTTCTATGGTCGCAGACACGCGGACCGACCGGCAGTTTTTGCCCTATCGAGAATACGAGTCGTCGCCGGGCTGAGCGTGCGGTGCCGAGCTGAGCGGTTCTGATTCAGTGGGCGCTACTCTATTTGTTTACGAACATATCAAAATCTGCCGGCCGCGCTGGCCGTGCTGTGCCGGGCTGCGCGGGCCCAGTGGGCGCGCTCCTTAAAGATGATCAAGCAAGGTTGCAATAGTGTGTTTTATTTTTTACTGTCAACTTCTCAATTATTATTCGATAATTTAATGAGGACTGAAACGATTGAACATTTAAGGTAAGTGCTTATCTTACAAAGCCAAATAGTGATACCTTCTTTAAATATTCATAATTGTAATCCATAAAAACAATGCAAGTTTCTCATCTTTTTCATGCATTTATAAGTAAACGCGCCAATGAAGGACTGCAGATGACGTCACAGCACTGGCGGACAGATTTAGCCGCTTCGGCAATGGTAGAGTTGATTCTTGTCTTGTCAAGGCGCGTTCGTTTATTCCCTCGAAGTGCGGAGCGTGTGGAGCTTGAGCTACCTTGGACAGAGGTCAGCTGATCATCGAGCAAACCGAGCTTGAAAATCTTGAAATAAAAAACGAACGGGTTTGTGCATCTCGAACCATACAACAGCTGCGCTCTGTGCGCACCATACGCTCGAAATTGTGAATGACGTTCGTTTATTCTCTTTCGAGCGTGTCTAGAAAAACTTTTCGCGTTCGTAAATACGTCGAGAGAGTGTATCGAGCTCGCTCGATTCGCTCCGAAATTTTTGATGGTGTGGAGTGTGCAGCGGGCGCCAATTTAAAAAAATTCTAAACCTACTTAAGCTAGTAAAAGTAAAATTGATTTCCTTCGTGCGTCCGGAAAACGCGTTTTCACGCACGGATTTGCGTGATAGTACCACTTTTCCGCACAGCGTGCATGAGAATAAATTTACCGCACGAAAACTTTTTCACGCACGCTGTGAGCAAAAAAAGTTTCTCACGCACTGTTTTTTTTTTCTCTCCGTCATGTTTCAATTTCTCAAAAATTCTAGATTTTTTCGAAAATCCTCCATCTTTTTTTCCCTTAAGAAAGCTATATTAACTTTTTATACTGACCAATAATATCGACATCTTTAACGAGTTTTATACCATAAATAATTAATTCTACTCATAGGTAATAAAAATAATTGTTAATATTCTGTTATTATAAACTTATTGCTTAAACTTAATTAAAAATCACATTTTTGACCATTTCCTTTATCAGTAGAGCAAAAAACAAAAAATTTCCGCACGCTCGTAGGAAAAATGTTGTACCTATCATGAGCGTAAAGTATTTTCCGCACTTACGGACGGTTTGCACGAACTCCGCTGGTGCGTCCCGTTGCGTGTGGAAAAGTATAACTACCCACTTATCCACACTTGTTAGGTGAATATAACTATTTTGTTTTTGTTAGTTTAAAGTTGTTTAGTTTTTGTGAGTGTATGACGCAACCGAATTTTCGTGACGAATGTAGTTCATTAGTTTAAACTTTGGATTACAAGATCCACCAGAGATCTGGGTTTTGTGGCAGGATTTAACTTGTTAGATCATAAAAAATTCCAAGGGTGATGGCAATATTACTGAACTATTACTTAATGATAATTGTTTTGTAGCAGGATTAACTTGTTAGATCAAAAAAAATTCCAAGGGTAATGGCAATATTACTGAACCATTACTTAAATTGCCTAACATGGTACATTCTTGAGAAGTCTAGCCTTGAATTTTGTGAAATAAGTAACCTTGCCCCAATCTGTAAAATCAGATCTTCTCCTATTTAACGGTTAAAACTTTTGGTTCAATTTTTATGACATGAAAAACGCTGCAAATGATCGGTGTTGTTCGTTTCTTTGTTTTCAATGTAATGAACTGAACTAATGAATTTGCCACAAAGCAGCGCTTGTGCTGAGAGGATATTCTCAAGCCTACTTAAATAATATAAAAACCAAAAATAGAAATAGGATAATTCTTATACCCTCAACAACAAATTCTTAATAATTGTTAGGTAAAGAGGTACCAACGTCACCAAAAGTAACGACAGCATCATATTAGCTCTCGTACTATTATATGATTTTTAGGGTCAAATATTCGTCAAACTATGCTGTTTTCAGACCCCACTTTTTCTGTTTTTTTTTCTTGTGGGCCCCACAATTCATTTCTTTAATCTTCAGCAAAAAAAAACAGAAAAATAGTTTGTTTTTTTTGGCAGATTTATATACAAATAAATGATGAGCGAGCTCGATACGCTCTCTCGACGTATTTACGAACGCGAAAATTTTGCTCGAAACGCTCGAAATAGAATAAACGAACGGAATTTAGCAATTTCGAGCGCACGGTGCGCACAGATCGAATAAACGAACGCGCCTTCAGTTTGCCTTTTCCTAACCTCACATTTTGACTTCTGTTTCTGTTGGTAAACAACAATTTCTCAAGTCATCACTTATTACTTATCATTACCCCAAAAGTTCAATACCCAAATCTTTTATAAAGTATTTTCACAATGCAAGACGAACAGCCGGATCCAGGGATAATCAGGGCCCATGTACTCCAGCTGATGCAACGAAAAGATAGAATTGAAAGAGAAATTCAAGAATTAACTGGAATTTTAACACAAGTGAGTCCAAATTCCTCTTGTGAGTTACCAGATATGAAAACCGAGCAAGAATTTGCTTTGCCAGGTGCACCATTTTGAATGCCCTATCCCTTCATTTCAAGGCTATTCTCCCAAATCCGTTAATAATTAATTTTCCTTTTCCAGAACGGTGTTGGTATGAATGACCCACTAGTTGACCAAGAAGGATTTCCCATAAGCAATATAGATACCTACCAAGTAAGACATGCACGTCACAGAATAATTTGTCTTCAAAACGACCACAAGGCCTTAATGAAGCAAATTGAAGATGGTTTGCAAGGCTACTATTCAGCTTCTTCATCAGAATCTAGCATGGATACACAACCCATCGGATCATGTCAAAGGCCTCAAATGGTTATTCACCAAACACCGTTTGCTCGAGTCACATTGGTTAGTGAAGGTTCTCCAGCAGATTATGCCGGTATTCAGGTTGGAGATCTAATAGTGGAATTTGGATCAATTAATTCGACTAATTTTAAAGCTATAACTGATATTGCAACGGTGGTACAGCATTGCGAAGGGACCCAAGTTAATTTAAAACTGAAAAGGCATGATCGTTTTGTTTCTGTTAATTTGGTTCCTAAGAAATGGCTTGGCTCGGGACTTTTAGGTTGTAGTATTGTTACTCTCTAGTAAAATTTATTTATTCATCCTTATTTAATTACAAAACAATAAAAAATGCAATTTAAGGAGGCAACAATGAATTTTTTTAGGAAATATATGTATTTATCACAAATTTGTTCTACTTGTTTATTGATCTTTTTATTCCAGATTGCCTTTGGAAAGATCAGTTTTCATTCTTTTCAATAGAGATGGTATATAACTCATTTGTTTATCTACACATTTTGTTGCACATTCTTCAAATATTTTGGTAAATTTGTCAACCTAAAAAATGAAAATTATATGTATTAACAATTCATTCTAAATTCTGATGTGAATATTACTTCTGAATCTGAAGGATTTGGCCCCATTTTAACTCTAACTTCATCGTTGCAATCCATAACGCATCTTTGCAATTTATTTTGCAAACCTTCAAGTTCTTGTTGCACGTAACCCTGTGCCCAATTCAATTCCCCAGAACACTTGTCCACACATTTTTGTACACGATCTAGTGACGACTCTTGGTTTTCGCAACAAGTAGCTGCACATCTATGCATTTTAGCCTAGAGATTGAATATTGTTGGGATAGTGGAAATTGGTATAGTCAAATGTTTACCTGCATTTTTCTCAAATACTGCAAGTCCAACGCGTTGATCATTTTGGTCATTTCTTGTTCAATACGTTGTCTTTGTTGTTCAACCATTTTTATAGATATATTTATAGGGTTTTTAGTTAATTTATTGAAGAAAACGTGATTTAGGTATCTGTTTTTCAAAGGAGGGAAAAAAATGTTTAAGAAAGGTTATGTTATGAAACATAACCCTCCTCCTAAAGAAAACCTGCGGCAGTGTTGCAAAAGGTGTCACGTGTTGCTAAAAAAAATTTGCTCTTGTGTCAAATTCCATAATTTCACCATTCGTCATTAGCCGCATTCCAGCTGTGTGCTTCAAGCACGGTGCAGCACAGTGTTCTGTGTTTGAAGCGCAAAAATTAGCAGCTCTCGAAGCGCAGTACGGCTGGAACACGAACACGCGCTTGAAGCATTTGCGCGCGCAAAAGCTTGATTGCGTGCTCAAAAGCGTCAGCTGAGCTGCTTTCCAGTGCCTAAATTGTTAGAGTATTATGCTCCTGGAGTGTGAAGCTCTTGAACTGTTCGATATAAGCAGCACTGGAACGCTCTCATCTTAACCTCCACCACAGCCCCCCATTTCGAACTTCAGGAGCATGGAACACCGAAATAATGGTTGGTGCACGAGGGGGCAGGGGATAACAGAAATGAGTAGTTCAAGTGTACGCCACTTTAAGCACTGGAACGCGCAAAGTAATTGTGGAGCACTCCTGAGCTGCTCAGGAGTAACTCAAATCGGTCACTGGAAAGCCCCTCTGGGAAAGCAGTTATTGGCTAGTGACACTGCCTTGACATTTGACTTTGACTTTAATTTGACAGTAAACAAGCCATAAAAACCAATTTCCTTGTAAAATGTCTTTCTGAAATCGGGAATAAAAATGCCATCCACAAACATTTCCGAAAGGTTTTTTTAAAGTTTATGTTGCTATTTTTCCAGTATATTGCAGGTAAATAGCCAATTTCCATAATAATAAATCCGCCATAGAGTAATTATTAATAAAGTTCTTGGTCAGCCAATTTAGGCAAAGCTCTCCTCAGCGGCGGGAAAAAACTACTGTAGGGGGCAAATTTTTTTGTTGATTATTTATTTACCGTTACAGAACCGCTAATATGTCGGATATTCCGGACATCGAGGAATTATTACAAAACTTAAACAAGACCCTAACATCTTTGGATCAATTTGGGAACATAGACACCTTCATAGATAAATTAGATGCTAAAAATCGGAAGCAACTAAAGAAAGTAAAAAATGTAGTTTGGGACATCAACAGCAAAGTTGGTAATATAAAGGACAAAGTTTCTAAAGCGTATAAGAGAGTGAAAGTTAGAATTGGCTCGGAGAGCAATGAACCAACTACTATTGAAGATGGGAGCGATAAAGAAGTTGACTCTTTGGTGTCTAATGGCGGTTTGGAAGCTAGCATTGAGGAAGCCGATAGATACAGTCCTGTTATTAGGCGTAAAAGTAGAAGGGCAAAAAAATCTTCAAAGGTAGCGGATAATGAGGATGAAAGTAAGGACAAAGAAGAAGATTCTGATGACAGTGAAATTCAGGTAACTTTAATTGTGAATTACTTAATAATTTTGTGCATTGTCTATATTTTGCACCAGAGATATTTTGCACCCACACCTATCTCACCTTTTTATGCAGAGACACCCAGAAATGTCAAATGTGAAAGTTGTAGGTAATATCAAAAAGTTTTCAATGAAGTTAGTAACAAGTATACAGGGTGTGTCACAAAAGTGTGGCAAAGCAAAGTTAAAGTTTTTAAATGGAACAGCCCGTATATTATTGATCCATTGGATTAGCCTTTCAAACCTGATTCCAAATATACTAGGTTTTTTAGGTTTATTCCTAATAGCCCAGGAGAAAATGGGACAAAAGGGGTAATTGCATTTTTATTGAAAAGGTAAAGTATAGAGACCAGCAGCAAAATATACTCCTGGACCGAGGGGGCGACCACTCCCGAGAAATATGTACATGTATTGCGGAAATCCTATGATTTCCAAATGATTGCAGCGATTTCGGAGAATTTTTCTAAAAATTTGCGATTTCGGAGGATTGCGAGGCGATTTCAGTGACTGCAGAGACTGCAGGGGGGATTGCAAACTAATTTTTGAGATTGCAAGGTGATTTTTGGGATTGCAAAGTGATTTCTGGGATTGCAAATATGATTGCGGAACATATTTCATTCGATTTACTCTCTTTTGAATTTTTATGATTTTAATTTCAGTTTTACATCCATAAGTTTATAGATCGGTATCTACAGGGTGACCCATTTTCGATGTTTTAATAGGCTATATCGAAAAGCAGCAGTGCACAGATATCAAAAATGTGGGAATACATTCTGGAACTTTTTTCTAAGAAAATAACAAATGGCAAGGACAAATCACAGCTAACTTGATATGTGTTAAGGAAATACAGGGCACTTTCCGAATTTTGTTCAATTTTAAAAGTTTCTAATTTTTTTATTAATCAAGATACCTATCCAAAAACCAAAACTACTTTCTACAAGCAGTTTTACAAGTAAAATCCAGTGGCATGACCAATTTTTTTCCAGATGCCTCTGATTTTGGAATATGTATTACTCAAAGTTGTTTTTTCTAAATGGGACACCCCATGGCCCATATACTTTTTTTTTATTCCATAGCTTTTCTGAGCTGATTTCAATGATATAAGGTTTTCTAGCTTTATCTTCAAAAGAAGCAATGAGCTATAAAGAGATAATAAAAAAAGTCATGAAATAAATTATGTGTTGCTTATTTATCACTTTCATCACCAATTCATAGTTCAAATTAAAAAAAAAACCAACTTGTTGAAATGTTGAATTGAGAATAGAAATTTGTAGCCGATTCATATATTTCAACTATCTCTTTCTAATTCATTGTTTCTTATAAAAAAACGGAATTTATTTATGTTTTCTCAAAAACTTTCGAAGGTAAAGCTATAAAACCTTATATCATTGAAATCAGCTCGAAAAGAGCTATGTAATGAAGAAATAATATATGGGGTGTCCCAATAAAAAAATACAACTTAACACCAGGGTTACGATTCCAAAATCGGTGGCATCTCGAAGAAAAAAAAAATTAGTCACTGGATTCTACTTGAAAAACAATTTAGCCGTAAGTTGTCTTCCCCTTTGTTATTTTTTCAAAAAAAATCTCTGCTGGTTTTCGATATAGCCCATTAAAACATCGGAAATGGGCCACCCTGTACACGGTGTCAAGTTATGAAGTATCATCACCTTTATAACTTGACACCCTGTATGTACCGGGTGTTTTTTATCTTTGATATCATTTTGATCACCTGTAACTTTTTTGTTTTTGAAGTTATCATGGTAAACAAAAAAACAAAATGTAGGGTTCGTAGCCAAGTTTTTTTTCAAGTTACACATAAATCAAAACACTATAAATTTTTTGACATATAAGCCTACATTATACTTTTTCAAATGGAACACCTTGTATATTTATGTGTGTTCGATAGAATATCTTATTCTGATTACAATGATATAACACACTTCATATTTTGGTCCACTCGTTTTTGACAAATCGGCAAAAATATGAAACTTTCGAAGTGAAGCTTATTAGGCAGGGCTCTGAATATTTGGGACGAGAATTATTGAGAGCATATAAAAATTTCATATATTTTTGCCGATTTGTCAAAAACGAGTGGAAGAAAATATGAAGTGTGTTATATCATTGTAATCAGAATAAGATATTCTATCGAACACACATATAATATACAGGGTGTTCCATTTAAAAAATATATAATGAAGGCTTATACGTCAAAAAATGGATAGTGTTTTGTTTCATGTGTAACTTGAAAAAAAACTTGGCTAGTAATCCTACATTTTGTTTTTTTTGTATACCTTGATATCTTTAAAAATAAAAAAGTTACAGGTGATCAAAATGATATCAAAGATAAAAAAAACACCCGGTACATGTCTAACTGCCACTTTGAAAACAAGAATCAATGATTTTGAAATACGCCCAATATACCAGGTGTCATAAAGATCTGCATAATATTTTTCATTGGATAATGATATTTCCACTTCTTCCACGTCAAATCCAGCATTCGATTCTTCAAAAAAAAAAACACTGCAGAATCTGAAAATGAGAGCAACAAAAACGTGATGTCAATTATCAATTTACCGCTAAAACGCGCGAAATCCCGATCAACAGCTAATTTTTTATCCCCACCAGAGCTGATTTTGAGTGATTTCAGAGATTGCAAAGGTGATTGCATAGGATTTCAGCAATTGCGGAAAACGATTTTGGGACTGCAAGAAGGATTTCGGATATTGCGAACTGACTGCGGGATTTCAGAATGATTTCGGAGATGATTGCAAGTGATTTCAGGCCAAATGTACACATATTGCAGGAAGTGGTCGCCCCCTCGTCCTGGACAAAATTATCGCACCACTGCTTATGGTGGTGCTTATGTGCAGTGGTGCGATAATTTTGTCGAATATATACAGGTAATCATTCAACTGAAAAATCCATATTATTTCTTCAAAATGGGATATCCAGAGGCTGGACTAGAGTAATAAACCTTAAATACCTAGTATATTTGGAATCGGGTTTGAAAGGCTAATTCAATAGGTCTATAATTTTTTTTATTTATTTTATTTATTTATTTTAGTTATTTATTAAAATGGAAAGTGGTCAAAATCGATGAGTCCATTCACAGGTTAGGTCGAAATTTAGACTTTGCTCTTGGTTTTGTTTTTCATCTTTTTTCTTTGGTTTTGTTTTTTTTTTTTTAATTTTTTTTTTACATATTGCACAAAAACACCATTGATCTCTTCCATTGCTGAGTCCAGGTAGTCTAGGAAAATTGTCGATTTTCAAAAAAAAAATCCTACCCAAAAGAACTTTTCAGGAATGATAGGGGGAGGGTGGGCGATCATAAAACCGAAAATATCAAACATTCACTCCTCTGGCGTTTTGCGCTATAGGGGATGAAAGTGCGCCATTGGCGATTACTTGGTACCTATTGATTTTACAAAAAAATGTTTCAAATAAAAGATGTGCAACATTATTTGATCTACAATGTTTACCTAAAGACTTTTTTGGTTAAGGGCCGTTTGAAATTTTATAATGGAAATGAAAAATTTTAACCAACGTGAAAAAATTTTCTACAACTCATACATTTTTGCTTCATGAAGTTTTTACCCACCCCCTGCCGTTTTTCAATAGGGGTAGTGTAAAGTTTTTAATTTTTTTACAAATAAATTTCCTTGAAAAAAGTTTTATAAGATGACATTTCCTACAATTTTTCCTAATCAACTTTTTTTGTAACTCTTCCTCATTCAGCGGGGGGACACTTCCCTCGGGGAAATTTTAGTTTTTAGGGGTATATATATATTTTTTTTTCTTTTCTCGCCTTTAGTGCATATAAAAAGTTGCAATTAACATTGTATTGAAAGGATTTTTTTTTCACCACCTTTTTGTTTTTAGGGGTAGTTCGCCTATTTTCAACTTTACAAAAAAAATTTATAAAAAAAACTTGTTCATTTTATTATTTTGAGCAATTTTTCTCTATAACTTTTTTTTGTAAAGTTGAAAATAGGCGAACTACCATTAAAAACAAAAAGGTGGTGGAAAAAAAATCCTTTCAATACAATGTTGATTGCATCTTTTTATATGCACTAAAGGCGAGGAAAGAAAAAAAATTTAATATATACCCCTAAAAACTAAAATTTCCCTAAGGGAAGTGTCCCCCCGCTAAATGGGGGTGAGTTACAAAAAAAGTTGATTGGGAAAAATTGTAGGAAATGTAATCTTATAAAACTTTTATAAGGAAATTTTTTTTGTGAAAAAATAAATAAACTTTAAACTACCCCTATTGAAAAACGGCAGGGGGTGAGTAAAAACTTCATGAAGCAAAAATGTTTTATGTGTTGTAGAAAAAATTTTCACGTTGGTTAAAATTTTTGATTTTCATTATAAAATTTCAAACGGCCCTTATGACCACAGACAACCCTTAATCAAAAAAGTCTTTAGATAAATATTGTAGATCAAATAATGTTGCACATCTTTTATTTGAATTTTTTTTTTGTAAAATCAATAGGTACCAAGTAATCGTTAATAGCGCACTTTCAACCCCTATAGCGCAAAACGCCAGACGGGTGAATGTTTGATATTTTCGGTTTTATGATCATCCAAACGCCCCCTATCATCCCTAAAAAGTTCATTTGGGTAGGAATTTTTTTTGGCAATACATGTATTTTTCGACTATTTTCCTAGACTAAGACGATTTTTAAAGCTGTTGATGCTTGGGGCACTCACGATCTCCTCACTCAGAGAGTTCCACTTATAGACAACTCTGTTGCTTAGGAAGTTTTTTCTCGGCAGTTTATTGGCTCTCTCTTTGTTCAGTTTTTTAAAGTGTCCTCGGAAATGCGGGTTTAAGTTTAGTGAGAAAATTTCCTGCATGTAGCTGTCATAGTAATTGTTCAAAATTTTGAAAGTCTCAATCAGATCCCCTCTTGTTCTTCTCGCTTCTAATGATGTTAGCCCGAGCTGCCTCATTCTATCCTCGTATGTGGTGT